TTTTTATTTTGATCTGCTCATCCTAGAGTGCCTAGGGGTTATGGATTAATTTTTTTCCTGGCTGTTTCTGTTGGGTATTCTTCTTCTGTTTTCTCCTTTTGAGTATTTGCCTCATTGTTCCTACCTTGAAATTAGGTATTTGTGTATTGGCTTAGTTGATTGTTCTCTCCTGCTGCAACATTAAATGGAAGAATATCATACTGGTTGCTGCAGAGAGGTTTTCTTAGGACCAGTCCTTGCACATGGTTGTGTGCCACTGAAGACCAAATGCTACATTTCATGTACATTTTGAGCCTAGTCCTGCCATGATGACTAATTTCCATGTGGAGTGATGGGCAAATTGGAGGTGAACAAGCCTTTCTCTTGTGAGCCCCAGCTTGGAGGAGTAAAGTGGGACAGGCTGTTTTGTGTGTGCATTTTGTAGTGGTTTCCAAGAAGTAGCTTTGTGCTGCTAGCAGAATTTATGCTTTCATAAATTAAAACCTTGCAAGACTTTTAAGAAATTTGCATGATTTCCCCTGAAAGTAAAAGGTATTCATGCTGCCTCCCCTTCACATTACTGAAGTAGTAAATCTCTAATAAAAGGGTTTATGGGAGGAAATGCAGATATTTTATTATAGTCTATATATATGTTTCCTATTCTGTCATCTTTTTAAGTTTGTCTGGCAGAACAACAACTTCATAAATTGTTTGAAGAGAGACTTGTACATTTCCTGGGCTAGGCAAAAAAAAAAGAAAAAAGAAAAAAAGTGAACAAAGTTGCATATTCTACAATGTTTTTTGATAACTGAGTGTGAATATAGAAGTTAGTTACAGGGAGCACAGCTTAAGGATGCAGCTTGCTTGGATAGATTTCCTTCATACTTTCAAAGGCAATATGCACCTCATCTAGTGTTTTCTGAACTTAGTTTTATAGAACAGAGTTACTGAAAACTGTAAAAATCCATTTTAATCACAAAGGCTAAGACTTCTGATTTGTCATTGCTCACTGAATTTCTTTCACTTTTAAATTTCAGACAAAAATAAACTTCTGCTCTTTCTAAGTGGTCATGCATTTAAATATGTTCATATTGCTGAAAACAGTTAAACTCGATGTTTTGTTGCCCATTTGCTTACCAGCTGCTATTCTCTTTGTGAACAAAATGACCATTTGCATCCTCCTCATTTATTTTTCCATTCTAGCATTTTCCTTCAGCTCTGTCTCCCTGTCCAACTGCATAACAGCCTATAAAAATATTAGTAATTCCAGTTTTCCAGTTCAGGCAAAAATATGTGTTCCTGTCTGACCATAATATCAAATGATTAAACTAATGCAACCATAACCTAAAAGCTTTGATAGTGTTTATCGTTCAGACTACTGATTTCAAGGTTGACTCTCAAATGAGAAGTTAAGAGCTCCAAGGATGCTGTGGTCAGTAGAGATTCCCACCCACACCCCTGGTGAACTAAGCTTAAAAAACTGGTTCACTATAATTTCAAGATTAGATGATTAGTAGTTCCTTGGGTACCCAGTATAAAACAGCTGAAATTGAAAATAAAATGAAGATAATGGCTGTGATAAAGAGAGTTGTATTGGTGCCTTATGTATTTGAACGTGCTCGTGAAATCAGGGTTATGGCTGATACGAGTCGTTACTTGCAAAGAACAGAGAATTGATTTTGTTCTGGGAACAGCTTCCTTATTTACCACATTTTTATTTCCTATATGCTGTTTCTCTAGCCATCTTGACTCAAATTCCTTTTACTGTTTAATCTCACATAGTCACCGTGCGATTTTTTTGAAATGACAAGAAAATAGAAAAATAAACGGTTCTTTAGAAAATACTCGATGGAACTTTTTGGGCAAATCACTTACCATCAAAAGATTATCAACAACAGAAACCCCTTAGAAAGTGCAGTATGTGCTGAGAATCTCTGAGCTAGCTGGACATAGCCCCTGAGCACTGGCTCTGGAGGGCAGAGCCTGCAGTCGATGCAGAGCATTGACTGGGCCATTATTGAGGAGCAGAGAACGTGCTGGATGTTCTAACCTCTGGTGCCACACATCACAAGTTGTTTGTGACACTGTCTCTGTAAGAATTGACCCGATTATATGTGCTATCACTAAAGATTGAGTAGTTTGTAGAGTATAAATTTGCTCTGAAACAAAGGATACTTGAAGCATTCGATTTAGAGGAAGGAAATGAAATGGTGCAGATGTTATTTTGCTCTTGGGAAAAGGTGTGTTGGGATTCTCTGCTTGTTCTTGAAAGCACAGATTAGTGAACTGGGCAAGAGGAAACAAAGAATGGAAGAGGCTTTGGTTCTAAAATGCATCTTTAAGTGGATGTGTTCGTTAAATTGCTTTTTATGGTAAAACTGAGAATGATAAGTGAACTTCATGGATGATGGCACAAAACTCAATATTAGGCATTTGGTTTATTTTAACATTCCAATCTGACCTGCAGAGACTCTGTCACTCTGTTCTCTGCAGAGACTCTGTCACTTTTCACCTACTTGTGGAATTTCTTCATGGTATTGTATTGCTTCACCTTCAGCATTGTGCTGTCATGATTTCTCAAGTGATGTCTCAATTAGTGGTTGTTTAATACAAATTGCAGCAATAATGGTTTACATTTGAGTAGCTTGTCACACGGTGAGCTGGGTTGCTGTAGAGTAGCCTCTTTGGGGGTTTTCTGTGCTGTACTGCCTTGTGATTGTCAGGAGCTTTTATTATTCAGACTTACCTTTGCTATTAACACAAGGTTTCACAGCTCTGGGTTCTAGAAATCAATTTAATTTCAGTGGAAGAAAAATATTTGATTTTTTTTTCTTCTCCATGTCTATTCATTAAATCATTCTCGTAACAGATATATGTGTTAATAACAAGATCGTTCATTTAACCAAGCACATGCCATTAGTAAGGTAAAATCTCTTTGAACTCTAGTTAGTTCTTAATCTCAGAACTAGATTTAAAAGAATGAAATATTAGAATTTTTGCCATAAATTTAAATAGGAATTGAGTAATTTGAACTAATGATAGAATTAAGTGGTGACATGTCAGTGTTAAACATGATGATCTGGTATATTGCAGTAGATATTTTCACTTATTTTTTTATGACGGGTAGGATTTATATGAGCAGTAATTCAGAAAAATGGGAGTCTACTTAATGGAATCATTCTCTTTAACACTATTTATCCTGACATTTGTTTTTTCCCTTTCTGATACCCTTTCTGGAATCTGGAAGCTTTTTACTTATTGTCATTTTTCTCTTAGTTTCAGCTCAGACTCTGAAGAGCAACCTTGACTCCATGAACCAGCAGATCCAGCGCCTTGAAAATGACATTGAGAATTTCCCTAAAACACAAGATGAGAACGATAAGTTCGTAGAAAAAATGAGCATATCCTTTTTGTGTGTCCTTGTTGATGATCTGAACATTCTGATCATCTGGTGAAGTATTTACAGCACTTGAAAATAGGTTTTAAGTCTCTCTTTTTCAAGCTTTTGTTTCAGAGCAGAGAAAAAAGCATCACAGAACATGATGAGAACATCTAACAGTAGACTTTGAAGTATCTATAGTCAGACTTCCAAGGGCATGACCAGACGGGTTTTTTGAAGGAAGTAGTTATGGTGGCCAGTCATAAAGATATGGGGATTTTTATGGGGTTTTTTTTTTGCCTTAAGCAATGGGTTTTAATAATAGTTGTTGAATCATTATCAGCAGTAAAGTTGATATATTTATTATTTTAGCTTCACATGTGGTGGGTTTTTTTGAAGGAGAATTTTGTTAATTGTATTAATTTAATTTTTTTAATAGACCGTTTTAGAGAAATACTCTTTTTGTACTCGGAAGTGTCTTTCCCTTTTATTTCTGTAGAGAATAGAGACTGCAAATTCCTTAACCAGTACTAAGTCACATTTGTGGAGAATACCATATGATGTCTGCCTCGTTTTCGCTCCAAAATTTTAATATATCTAGCTTTAGTTTTGCTTAAAATATAAAATAACAAGTAAAGTTTGCTGTAGATATAAAGAACTGACAAAACTGTGACACGGCTGAGCAAAAGCCCTTCTTTTTCTTAGAAGAAACATACAGGTTTTTATTTTGCACAAAGCAGATTTCTGTGTATATCAATGGAAGCATTTGGAGTGTGATATATGGCCAAGTCCAAAGCATTTTGTGTATTCATAGAAGCTCAGAGAGTTCATGTGACATTTCTTCTTTCTTGCTGCAACCAGATAGAAGTCATGTGTTTGTGGGTTTTTCTAAGGAAGGAAAAAAACCCCCAAAGAAGGGATTGATGTCTGGAGCCATTTGCAGCTGCTCATCACATTGAGTAGGTGAATGTAAGGAAGAGGTTCTCCCAACTGCTCTGTGTTTGGAAAGTCAGTTTTAGTGGGATTTACCATCTGAATGGGTTTGGTGACAGAATTTCACAAGAAGATAATGAATATCTTCTCTGTATGGATTTATTTTTAAGTTTCTGACAAGACTGCAGAAAAGTAGCTTAAGGGAGACGACTCCTGCCTAAGTGGAAAATTGTTTCTTATTCCTCACATATTCTCTTCCATCTTGTCTTACTGGCAAGGCTAAGAGACTTGCTGCTGGTAAGCATGTTTATCAGTTCTGCTATTTAAAAAAAAAGAAGCTTATTATTTCCTTGAGATCCATTCCCATCAGAAATCTTATAATATTGCCTTGTAATTGCCCTTTGCCTTGTCACCACTTCCATTGAGAAATGAAACTAACGTTCTGAAATGCACCTGTACCACGTGTTTTCTTGTTAGACCTGACAGCTCTGGATTACAGGTTCTAGAAATAATTTTTCAGTTGTGTTGAGTAAATGCTTTGCCATGTGTCACTTCGTTACATATGTATTTACTTATAAAAATGATTGGCATCACTCTGGTCATTTGGGGAGAAAAAAAGAGCCAAGTAGGTAATATTTAAATTCTCTGCAGTTTATCATCTGAATTTCTTAAAGAAGAAAAATTGACAGTGCAAAAAAGTTAGTGTATTAATGCTTTTATTGGCAAAAATAGGAGGATCCTATGAAACTTTTGGAGATTGTTGCAAGATCCCTAGGCAGCCTCAGCTCAGTGCATGTATGTTGATGTCACAGGTAGATTACCAAGTGCTGATAATTAAAATGGGCACCTGGAACTATGGGTGCCTGACAGCTTTAATCATACCAGCGAGTTTGGTGGCTTGACACAAGAGATAAGCCTTTAAGAAATGAACTGAGTCTACCTAAGGATTTATGTTTGCATAATTAATAGATGACCTGATAAGTGGTGATTTTCTTTTCTAGAAAGTCATCTCCTGTTCTATCAGGTGACCACATTTGTTTCTGCTTATCATTGAATGTTTTAAAGTTTTCTCCACTCATATTTTTATTAGATTGAGGAATAATTGTTAAAAGTGTAAAAATGCTGTCTCAGACTTGAGTGTGTATTTCCTTTGTTTCTGTCAGCTGGGGGAAGATTTGTTGTTGATGCACATCCTGAGATTAGAAAGTTGAATTTCAGGCTGAACCTCTCTCAAACTGCTTAAGCATTGCAGAAAATTGGAGATGTGTCTCAGTAGAGAGTTTTAGGATGCAGGAATTATACTCTACCTCAAAGCATAGCTTCTCCTTCCTGTTCCTGCAATAAACAAAGCTCTTCACCAGGAATTGTGAGTGAGACTTTGCTCAGCGAATGTGAAAAAAATATTGCTGGTACCACACTAAGGTAGGAGATCAGCGACAATAAATATACTATTTCTAGTATTAATTCATTGTGATAAAATTAATATTCATAATATTGAAGCAAATGCTGTGAAATAAATTAGTTTTTATAACTTGTTTAAAGAAGTAAGAGTTTGGTACTGTGAGTGAGAAAATGATTCAGAGAAATTCTAGCTATGTTTTCCTATAGGATTTTTGCTTGGCCGGTTTCTAAGTAGAATAATTTTTTATTTCACTTAATCAGATTTTTATTTAGCACATCCACTTATTCATCTCAGTGCACACTACTTGGTGTAACTCCTGGATGCTTAAAAATAACTTACAGCTACTTGAGGAGTTAAAAATGAAGACAGGAAGAGTAGTATGTTGCTACTCCACACGCTGTTTAAAAAGTTGGAGTATATTGCAGAAGTAATATGTTCAGATAAATGCAGCCCATTGATTCAAAAAGTTTGAGTTCAAGCTGTTAGAATTAAATTCATGGAGTTTGGACTGCAGTCTGCTAAGCTGATACGTGTCAAAAGGTCATTTTAATACATTTTTAATTGGTTGCAAACTGAGGAAAATGGGTTATCTTATCTGAATATTTCATATTCAAAGCAAGACTATAGGCAGCGAAATATAATAGTTTGACAGCAGATTTGGTTAGAACCATGAGGGCACCATGTGAATTGGTCTGAACTGTGTCAGTGTGACCTCCTGGCTAAGGGTGTCTGTCTGAGCCACTTATGATCATAAGGTTCCTAGTGGAAGGTGTCCCTGCCCATGGCAGGGGTTGGAACCAGATAGTCTTTAAGGTCCTTTCCAACCTGAACTATTCTGTCATTCTATGAACATAACAAAAGAATTCGGATGATGTAGCTATAGGTTGGTTGCCATCTTCAGTAAGCAATTAATAACTAATGGTTATGATCGTCAGAGTTCATCTCCAGTGAAGTAGAGTGGTCTGAGCACATCCTGCCACTGCCAGCTCCTGTCAACCACAAGCATGTGTTTTGGGACATTATGCAATCTTGACTTTAAAAATACAACTGGCATAAATTCTGCTATGTAGGAAAACTGTTGAAGTTTTCTGGGACTTGTTTGTCTTCCACGTTGAAACTTTCATACTGTGATCAGGTTACTTAGATTTATCTGCAATGACAAAGTGGATTCACTTCTTCAGGACTTTTTCCCCACAATCTTGTACTTTTTAATACGCACTTGTAGTACTGATTTTGGCTAATAACACTATTTCAACGTATGAGTAATTTTGTAGCTTCCTAGACAAGACAAGTAAAACCTACAATATTGTTTTTTTCTTCTACATCAAAAATCTAACTCGGTTCCCACCACCATTGCAGTGGAATTTGTGTTCCATTAGTAAAGAATTCAAGATTTTTTCCATACTCACTACTTGCTGGGACAGAGTTCTGCATCTTGCAAGGTGTGTCTGTGTTGTTTGTAGTGGTCACTGTGGATTTTTTGAGATTAGCTTTATGGAAAGATTTCTGTGGGGTGCTGAAGTGATTTTTATACTTGCTGTCTTGCTATCATGCAAGGATTTTAGTTTGTGTGCCTTATATTGGGCTGTCTCTAATTGCCTGAGCTGTAGGAATGCTCACAGCACCCTAAAGTCATTTGGATCCTGAAGCTGAACTGTATAATTGGCCACCAGAAATAGCTGATTTCAAAATGAAGGTTGCACCTCTGCTAGAATGGAAAGTCGAATGTAGTATAGTTAAGCAACAAGAGAGATGAAAATAATTCTTTCTGTGAATTTCTTGCTCTATTAAATAACTTATGTGAGGATTCCTGAGAAAACTTTTTCATGATCTGATCCACGGTTGGAGTTGTACTTTACTTGAAGATCAATTTGTAAATAATTCAACTTTAAATGTGAGAGGTTTCTTTTATAATTAGCCCTGCTTCATGCGGCACTGGGGAGTCTGATTCAACAGTTTAGAAAAGTAATTACAGACTATGCCAAATCTGCCTTTCACTCCTTGTTTCATTGCAGTGTTTGTGCCTCTAATTGAAGATTTTTTTTTTAAAGTGCAAAACTCTGAATTTTATATTTACTTGCCGTAGGTGTATACGTTGGTTTCTTTTCAGTCATGTTAAAACATGAGTGTGTAGTTGGGGATTGAGGAAGATATTCAGATTAATGAGGTTTAAATTTAAATGTTATTAAGAAAGATTAAAGACAACAGAATGAAAAGCAATTTCAGAGGGAATAAATGGAAAGCTGTACAGAGTTAACTATTAATTAATCTTGACGTAGAACTATAAATACATAAATAATAAATACCATTTCTTTCCTCCTTCCAACATCCACACACACACACTCAATGACAAAAGTTTATTCCTCTGGAAAGTAGACAGGAGCTTTGAATGTTGTTCCAAGGAGAAGGGAAAAGGGGCAGGAGGACACATGTTTGGTCATTGGGTTCATGGTGTTTGTTATCCTGCTGCCTGGAGAGAATGACTGTGGACTGATACATATTTTATAAACAATCTTACATTAATTTAATTATATAATGTGTCCTACTTGTACTAGTATATCCTTAAATGAAGATTTTTATATGGCTTTTCTGGTTTTCAGCTGTATCATTTACCCTAATAAGAGACATTAACATGCCTAATTTTATTAAAATCTTTTGCCTGCCAGAGCAATCAATGCTGCCACGTG